CAAGGGGCACAGCGAGCTGTGGGCCCGGCACATCTGGCATGTGATTAGTGTGGACTGTGGGTTGTGACGACTCAGTGCTGCTTTCAATAGCACAGGGAACATTCTGACTCCACTCTGCAATAAAAACACGAATAGGTAAAAAATTCAATTGGTTAATTTCAGCCAGTTTTCCCAGTTCTAAGTTCGACTTAGTGAAACTGGTATTTAAGATTAGTTTTACAAAGTACAGATCGTGAAGGTATTTAAAATATGTTAATAAACAAAGGCTACAAATAAACAACACGATACCAAACATCTTAATAATTCAGTGATGACATCGTAGAAAACATGATAGAAATGTAAAACTATGGCGTTCAGCAGGAAATAAAAACAGCAGTCACTGTGAAACATGAACCTCACAGCTGCCTGCCACCTTCCACACTGTGCATGAAACCATCTAATGTGACGTCACCATTCTGGACATGTTCGCTCTGCCGGTACTCCCAGCACTCCCACTACTCCCAGTACTCCCGGCCTTCCATTCATGACCCAGGTCACTCACAGCTTCCCACCATGGGCCCACACGGGCATGTTTGTGTCTGCTACTCAAAGACTCAGAGGAAATCAGACATGCTGACAAAGCTGGATATAAACATATATAGATATGAATATAAAGGGTATTTATGTGAAGTGTGATGTAGTGTGACAGTGTTACCCTCCTGTGGTTACAGTCAACAGTCTCCACTATTAAACTGTAATGCTCTTCCTCATGTCTTCTTCATACAGAACTCAGCCTGGAGGATGGGTTGGATGAAATAAGTGAGTGACCGTCACATCGGGCACTTTTCCTAGCATTGTTTTTTTTAAAGGTTTCGTTCACTCGTTTCTTTCTGTTTCTTTAGAAACGACAACCCAAAAGCCCAAAGAGAAGCCAAAGGCACCAGAGCAGCCCAAAAAAGATGGTTTGTAGTATTTCATGTGTTACGACTGAACTTTGAAGCACGCCATCCGTGGCCTTTTGTTTACAGTGATGTATATTACACATATGATGATCTGTGTTAGTCTGTCCCATTGTCCTGAACACAATATGTCAGTGCTCAGTAATGACATGAATGACATATATATATATGTATATATATGAGATTACAGGT